ACGAATTTCATACTCTCTCTGCACATTGGGACCTCTTCATAGAGTTAGGGTGGTTATATACGGTGTGGGGTCGAAAACATAGATTTGCTTCAAACTTCGTCTAGGGTGGTCATTTAGCGCGCTGAACATAAATATCATGTTGATTTCGCAGGATGGTGCATTTTCTTGGGTTACGGTGGGTGTAGAGGGTCGAAGTTCCAGATTTGCTCAAAACCTTACCTGTAACAGTTCACAAGTATACTACTTATGGATATGAAACTTGCTCGCTGTCATAACGCATTAGTGAAGTTATGGTGAGTTGCAGGATTTGAATGGACAGGGCCAATTTAGATCCCAGACATTCACGAAATGGGGAAACGGTCGTTTTGCATGGCCGTCTCCAGCGCCATCCTGATAACCTGCCCTAACGCGTAACGCCTCCCTCTCCCTGTTTTTGCCTAGGCAAAAGCCGCCGAAGGGTTTATCGCGCGCGGCAGTGGTCCTATAAGGAAAGTATTACGGTCATGGACTTTTATACCACACGAATTGGGGATTAAGCACGATATTCTTGAAGCAGCACTTTAGGTAATTCCCTGCCAAGGTTTCAAGCAGGTTCATGATTTTTACCCGCTGCCACGCGAAATGATTACGATATTCGTCAGCGGCTCGAATAATCCGCATATACCGAGTTTGAGCAAGACCCACTACAAAAACATTTTGAGGACCGGATAGCCGAAGAACCCATCAGTTTTTAGAATTGCCCTACTTTTATCGATTTTATTGTTTTTTTTTTGCAAAGTTTGAGCTAAGGAACTGGGGGTTGGGAGGAAGTTAGGTTAGCATACTGATTGATAACACGGCGGGAATAGGGAATTGCAAAGTGGGCACAGGTAAAGCTGTACAGGGATAAAAATGGAACCTTTATCGTTTTTGACAGGGCCGGGCGCAACCGGGTATGCCAGTTAATAAATAAATAAATAAATAAATAAATAAATAATCGAAGCTGGATTGATCAAAAAACGGGGCTTTGAATAGATTTTATTCGAATGTTTCATTCAAATTCGTATTAAAATCGATTTTGACTCATCTATACGACCCTGTTCCAAATGTCGAGATCTTGCACTGTGCTGAAATAAGCATAAAAGCTTCGAATTTGTTTTAAGAGAAAAATATGACGGTCTTCTGAGAACAAAGGGACTTGAAGAGTTTGAAGTTGAGTTAATTGAGGTCACGTAGACCACTCGGAGACTCGGGCAACCTTACATTTTGGAGGTCTGCGTGATCTATTGTAGATCCTATATTTTCGCCAGGAGCAGCTTTCAAGCAATTTTTGTGTTGTTTATTTATTAGCGCTAACCTTTTGTAGTAGGGCTTTTTCTGTTCAGTTAGTAGCTAATGTAGCGAAGGCCCTCAAGGTAAAACCCGCAGATGTTGGAATTTTGACGGGGCTTAGTTCGTTGTTTGACAGTGATGCGAAGTCTGTAAATAACGGCCAAATAAGCTTTACGAAGGCTGGAAAAAACTGGAAATTGCAACAGAAAAGGTTTCTCAAACTGATGGGCGGTAATCAAGGACGAGGATTGCGTAAATAACACTCTTTATGACCGTGATGCATCATTCGTGAGTCTAGCATGAGTTCTAGCTTACAGTGAACTCGGAAATTGCTGGAATTAATAAAGGTTTACTTGACATGGCTCACAGAGTTATGTCCCGTTGGTTTACGACTGTGAATCAGGAGTCTTGGACACTCTTTGCATCCCCTACCTTTAGATTCCTGCTTATATCTTTACGACCAATCCCCCCCCCTTCCCCTCCAGTTTTATTGAGTTATAGAGGAGGCTGTGAGAAAGTTTGTGCGTGTAATTTTCTGCGCATTAACGAGATAAAATCAGAGCTCGGCACGAGATGGCTTTTTCAATTTTCTGAAAACGAAGCTCCCCCAAACTTTGCTATATAGACATCCTTTATGGCACGAATGAATCAAACATGATTAACATAAAGAAGTTTGAAATAGAACAGAAAAACAACTTGAACAGACGAAAAAAAAAGCTGGTGGTGTTCACATTTTTCGAACTGGGGGCATGCTGTGTCTGGTGCGCACCCCGCTCGCTTGGAGTAGGCTTGCCTTCGCCATACAAAATTTTTGGAGGACTGACTATCTGGGAGGAGGGAGTTTGAGGAGGTTGGAAAACTCATTTTTAATTGGATGTATTAGGTCATTTCAAAAGTTCGTTCGCATTGTTCTTTGAAAAATCGTAACTCTCTGCTATCTGCCTAGATTTGGCTGGGATAATTTTTTCTAAAATAAAAAGATCATGTAGTTTCTAACTGTAGCTCAAATTCGTTCTACCAAGCACAAGTCGCAGAGTAAAAAATCCAAAAAGAAGACCACTCAAATTTTGGTAATTTTGAAAAAGCTCACCAAAAATCTCAAAACGTTACAAAAAATACCGAAACAAACGCAAACATATATTTTATGTTCTCGTCTTTCTAACTAGGCAAACTCCTTGTTGAACTGCTGTTCTTATGAAAAGTAATGATTTTTTAGGAATTTGCTATAGGTTTCTATGAAAATCAAAATTCCTCTTCCTTAGCACAAAAATCCCTTAACTAGGAAGAGAAGGTCACAAAACCCCTGTTCTTGGCTTTCCCGCCTTTTTTGTGACGTTTTGGGCTTTTTTGGGCATGCTCAAAAATTGCAAAACTGAAGTATTTCTCTTTATTTGCTTGTAACTTTCGATCTTTTTCGTTTTAACTCGTGGAAAAGGCACTACAGTAAAGACCATAATTTTCTCTATCAAATAATAACGAATTCGGAATTTTTCGTGATCCAGCTTAAAAAATGCCAATCTCGAGTAAATTTATTCAATTGCTTTGAAAAACTGGCGAACGAACTTTTGAAATGACCTAATAGATCAAAATTATGTAAAAAAAATATGAAATATGACTAACTTTGTTTGCCCCGAGCCACTTCAGGTGGCTCTGCAGGTGGCTCGAAAGCCATCTAACTTCAAAGGAGGTTTACCACACCTTCACATGATTTTTCATGATCTTTCATACATAGTTTCAGCTCCCTACTGCGCATCTACAAACAAATCTGGTTCATATTATTTCCTTGCTGTAAACAAGCCTTTTGTTTGCTTCAGGGCATATTTCTGAATTCCCGCGCTTAAATTGGAGCACGAAATTGTGGGTTTGGCAGAGAATGGGGTCGGTAGGGCGGTGATGAGTAGTCACAACGTCTTCAGAAGATGAGAGGTGGTAGAAGAGAGGATGGGGAGTGTTAGGGGGGGGGGGGGGGAGAGAGAGGACGAAATTTGGGACTAAGTATGTGTATGATCCACAGGCGATAGCAACAGGATGAATTTTATTTGTCAGAGGAGGGGAGCGCAAAATTAAATATTTGTTTTGTTGATGTCATGAAGTTGGCCAACTCTTCGAAGTCTTACTCGGTTAATTTCCTATAAAAATCAGAAATTATTCCTTGCCTGATCAGAAGATTCTGTGGAATTCTCTTAACCGATTTCGAGACTCAATTTCGCAGCAGTCAGCAATTTTTTTCACACCATACCAAGCAAATACAGTGTCCCAAAGAAATGTGAACACTGTTTGATCGTTAATACTCCGTTGCTTTCATGCCTTTCGCCGAGCTTGAGGCACCATTCTGTAGAGCGAGGTTTAACTTAGAACTACAGTGTGGAGCGAATCACCGATCGCTGTTCGTTACTGTAGGATTAGGGTATGGACTTTTAGCATGTGGATCTATTGTAAAATATGCCACTTGACAGAATTTTTTTCAAAAGATCTGAAAAATTGTGTATTAGTATTTTCGCGCTCGCTGATTCCATTACACATTTTTACGAGTGTTTTTAGCTTTTTTGACGGTGTAGTCGCATTTCTGACAAATGCTGGAAATTCATTATTACGGTTTAGCTGGGATAACCTTGCAAAGAAGCATTACAGTAAAGTGGAAATTTCATATTCGAACTCAGCGGCTTCCATTACTATAGTACAAAAGTTTTTGGCTTGTTTGACTCTCTTTCTGAGGCAAAAATAACGCTTTCAATGGCTTGAAATCCTCCTCAAAATTCCTACCGTAATCCTACAGTAATGAAGAGCGATCGACGAGTCGCTCCAAACTGTGGATCTAACAAGGGAAGGATACTAACCTAGATTCGCCTTTCAAAATGAGACACATACATATGGAATCAGCTTGGAACACTGATTCCAAATATGCTGCTCCTAGCTGCTTAGCATTATTCTGACGCGAGTTATGATCTCTTTTCTATCAAAGTCTGCGTGCCCTGTTGATGCTACGGTGTCGACGTCTAGGTGGTTTTGCAACTGTATAATGCTACCTTTCAAGATTGAAAGAATCAATTTGATGCTAGTTTAACATCCTAGCACTTTTTTCGACCATATTCTAATCTACACGCCGTCTTTTGACATTCAGAAGTTTGTTAGTTACTCACAGCAGCAAGCCCATAAGTCGCTTTGGAATAACGCTAAGCAGCTAGGAACAGCATATTTGGAATCAGCGTTCAAAGCTGATTCCAAATATGGTATTCTTTCCTTGTAAGTTAAACCTCGCTCTATATAATGGTGCCTTAAGTTCGGCGAAAGATATAAAAGCAAGGGAGTTATTAACAATCAAAAAGTATTTACATTTCTTTGGGACACCCTGTATATGCTTTTTACGGTCTCCTCCCCGACTCCGCAAAAACGATATCCGCTTTGCTTTTTAGCCCGAAAACGATATCCAGCCTGCCTCGTAAGTCACATGTGTTGAGCCCTGGATAACATGGCAGTCCCAAGCTGACTACTGCAGTCAATTTCATAAATCTAAATTCTTGCAAATTTGTCCAATAAATTTTTGCTTCCATCTCGCTCTAAAAATCGTTTTTACTTCGTTTTACTCCTAGAGCAATGACATTCAGGTGAAAGCGTCACCTTTGCTATGCTCTTTCGTATCGTCGTTTTTTGTAGTTGTAAATAGCAGTGTGAACAATTTGTAATTTTGCAGTAATGGTAGAACTACAACGCCTCGAGGCCGTGGACGTTCGTTACGCTATCTCACGATCATGCGGTGACATCGTTGAAGCTCTCATGTTCCTTCATTGTCCGGTATGTGATGGTTTTCATTTATTATTTCTATTTCATTTATAATTTAATTCATAGACAAGAAATTGTTCTGTTCTTTGGTAGAAATGATTGAAGACGTACAAATTAGTTATTAGACAAATGTAGAGAGAGTGTTCCAAAAAGGTGCTTATTGTTTGACAAATAGCAGTTTTCTTGCCTTTTTGTTTCTCAAGGGCCTCCAGGCATCATAAGAAAGGGTAGCACTATGCACTTGATTCCTGTAACATTTCATAGTATTTGTCTACTATTTCGTCCTACTTCTGCAAAAATTTCTATCCTACTTCTATGTACATACCAATTCCCTGTCGCCAATCAAATCAGCATGCCTACACAATTTACTTCTCCACCTATACAATCCACAGTGCCCCAGCTCAAATTTTGAAAATGATAGAATGATGAACACATCAGATAATTTTCAAAATGATTATCCCTTCTTTTCTATTCAAGTACCACTCTGAAAGTCAAACTTTGCAAAGATTCAAAACATCTATGGAGGCAACTGATAATATCAAAAACGAGTGCTATATCCTTATCAAGTTCCATATTCCATTGCTTGTACGAACTCAGAAAATCCAACGTACCTACTTATTTCTTCCAACACTTTCCTTCTCCACTTCGAAGTCTACAAAAAAATCAATAAAATCTACAATAGCAACCCTCTTCGATCAGCAGCCTCATTCAACAACTCTGAACTTCTCTAAAACAAGTTCGCAAAGATTCAACAAGGCTGGGTTCACACACGTATGCGTGTAAAGTTCGGTTTGGATCACATATTAAGAGATATTTAGCTTCTTTTACATAAAGTTCAATGTCTGTGTGTCTGTATGTATCATCGGTTCTACGACTATATAGACGCAGAGTCGTTTCAGCTCGATGCGTGGTGTTTCTGATACCGAGAGGGTACGAAAACCAATACTAGGTGAGATTCCCGAGTCTTAGGGCCGCATGCACTAACATCTCCGCGGGGAGGGGATCGCAGCTTAAAAGAAAGCTTTATATTTCGAAACTCCAGATACCTAGATTTCACGTTGTGTACCTATCCGTAAGTATTCCTATTACCCTTCACTATGAACATGTTGAACAGGAGCGAAAAGCTGTACAAACCGCATTTTCCAGCTTTTGTATGATCCCTGATGATCCCCGGCGCTTTTCTTTAAAGTCATTTTTCTTTCTCCGAAGTTAACGAAAACCTTCCAAAGTTGTACTGAACATCTAACACAATACTGCTAAGCATGTTGCTGATGAGAACAAATGATGTTTTGAAGTCATGAAATTTGCGATGATCCACAGGTCGAACTTTGAGGCTTACCGAAAAATTCGACTTTTCAAAAAGTCATTTGTTCTCATCAGCAACATGCTTAGCAGTATTGTGTTAGATGTTCAGTACAACTTTGGAAGGTTTTCGTTAACTTCGGAGAAAGAAAAATGACTTTAAAGAAAAGCGCCGGGGATCATCAGGGATCATACAAAAGCTGGAAAATGCGGTTCGTACTGCTTCTCGCTCCTGTTCAACATGTTCATAGTGAAGGGTAGTAGGAATACTTACTGATAGGTAGACAGCGTGAAATCCAGATATCCGGAGCTTCAGGATATGAAGCTTTCTTCTGAAGCTGCGATCCCCTCCCCGCGGGGATATTAGTGCATGCGGCCCTTAGTGCGCTCACCCGCTTGAAACATACGACTCAACCTAGTCTACCACTTTACCTTAGCGCGAAAAGAACAAGTTAAACTACTATCAAGTTATTCTAATGACATCAAATAACACAAATACTATAAAAATAAAAACTGCTATGACTAAACTACTAAAGTGAAAGTGGCAAAGTGGCTCGTCCAAATTCAATCCCAAATTCGATTCGAATTCCAATCCAATACAACTTTCGATCCGCGACCGCTAAAGCGAAAGGAATATCAAAAGCGAGAGCTAGACTGCTAGGCACGAGCACGATATTTAACATGAGAAAGGATTATCGATCGAAAACGAAGGCGAACAGACGTTTAAATGAAATCGCCTTTTGGCTGGCAACGAGCTAAGACAAGGAGAGGTCCGGGTTGAGCCAGACTTTGCGGCGAAGCGGCGTACGCGGCGTACGCAGCGTACGCTTGGTATATTTCATGATAAGAGCATACGCGGCGTACGCTGCGTACGTCGCGTACGCCGCGCAGTGTGGCCCAACCCTCCGTAGGCGATTGCGGCAAGCGTGAGAAATTACCGTAATCGTCGCCGGATAGCGTGGCAGCAACCACTGCTCCCGCGCTCCTACTTCTGGCAGCGCTCGCCTCGCGGCGCGACAATAGCCTCGCTAAGGTATACAAAAACTACCTTCAAAATCAGCATGTTTGGAGCAAAAATTTTTTCAAAGCTTCTATGAAACACAAGCCAATTTGTTGATAACAATCAAGTTTCTGTAATTTTATGGTGGTAAAAAAGCGTTTGACAGTACTTCGTTACCCTGTAATTTACCTGAGTTCTTTTGGTAGTTAGTATTTCATTAAATTGCGAGGAAAAAAGAGGGTTATTAATAGAACTGTGGATAGTTTTTGAAGTTATGAGGTCATTTTCTTCGAGCAACTTTTATGTGCTATTTGAGCAACATTTCACGAAAGTTCCAGTAGCGGACTGATTCACTGCAACGTGAATACTCCTGAAGTTTGATCTCTCGGTTCAATAAGGTGAGGATTCTGAAATTTGCTTCTATCACTTACACACTTTCTTCTTTTTATATTTGGAGCGCCAAACGATTATTTTTGCATAGAGGTAGAAGTGGCTAAGAAGGCTTTTTACGCTGAGATGTCGTGCTGAAGAAAAACTTGGAAACACTCGATGAGATTCAGCACTCGGTCATTATATGCTGTCTTCGCATTCACTCTTTGTCTATACTCTTCTCGGAATGTCATTTAGTTCCGATGGATTAATGAGAAAAATAACGTTTCTAAGTTTGCTCTTCAAAAATGTAAGTTTTTACTTACACAAGCTGTGCCAAAGTGACAGCAGCGTTAATGTTTCGCTTTAGAATAGTCGTTGAAAGCATTTTAATAGTCTTTTTAGAGCTGTCATGCTTTCAAAAGTGTTGTCGATTATCTCACTTTCAGCAACATACAAACTGCCAAAATTTGATCGAAACATTCTCTTTCAAAGTCAACTTTCAAAACAAAGCGACGATTGCGTTTAGGCTGTAATCTAATAATTAATAATAATATCGTATGCTTTTTCTAGGCTATTCTCAACTCTTATGTATGGTTTGCTAAAATCCGTCGATGTCTTCAAATCTCTTATTCTGCGCTATTGAATTAGGTACTTGCTTCATCTCAAATTAAAGAATGACTTGCTTCATCTCAAATTAAAGAATGTAAACTAAAATCTAGAATCCACCTAACTATGTATCTTTTGTCATGGGTTTAATCTGCTTCCGTTTTTCCTTTGAATTTATATTAAAATAGTGTCGTCATGCTATACTAACTTTGTGGCAGATTCTCAAAGTCAGTAGATAAAAAATTTTTGCATTTGCTTCCCCTATCTCAGGTGACGATGTGTGCCTTTTCTCTGCTAATTTCTATGCATATATTAGGCGATGTGCGCTTTTGCCACTCTATGAAGTTGATCCAACATGCTCACTGCAAGTTGTATTTGGTGCAAGAGAAAGTATACCACGAGAATCTGCTACCTATTGAGATAGTATAAGATCAACAATCAGAACCAAGAAGTATTTGAGGGATGAGCGCGGATACGCCATTGGGAAGACAAGCTCAGCATAAGAATCATATTTACGACGAGTTGGAAAGAGTTTGAGAAAAAAATTTTTACTTAGGTAACTCAAACATTAGTGCCTGATCCTCGAGAGATTTTCAAAATATATTAGATAGTGAACTCTTCAATATTCCTTTTGTTTAAACGATCATTTGGCAACAATTTCGTGAGAAACTAGTTCATCAAAACACTTTGACTTTGAGAAAAGGGGCGCTATTACAACGGATAAATCTTCTTCTAAACACAAGTGATTTTTGAGAGCATATCATCGTCGAAAAAGTAGCACATGTGCAACATATGAGCCGTCAGTTTTTTGATGGATCATAACTTTCAGCTGATAACCATTTGACCTGTCTTCCACTTGCCTCCACCTCCCTACTTTCTTACGAAATATCTATAATCATTGACCTAAGCTCCCACTCCTGGAAGTTTTGCTGAAAGTCTAGCAATGGTCAATTTGCTAACGTATTTGACAGTGAATGTCACTGCTCGACGCAGATCTTTGCAGGTAATTGTAGAATTTACACAACTACTCTAACTTTACGCGTATAAAGCGCGGGGGATTTTTTCCCAAAATCGACCAGCGCAGACCCGCCAAGCGACTTTACAACTAAGAGACCCTATAACGTGTTGTGAATTGTTTAAGAAAATCGTACGATAAAGATCTCTTTCCGGAATACAGTGAAGCGGCTGAGCGGCTCGCATAAAAAATCGAAGAAGTGCGCCTTATACGCGTGAAATTAGGGTAAAAGTGCACAGACATGATATTCTAATTCACGTCTAATGTGCCAAATAACAGTGGCGGTCGCAGGATTTCGGACCGGGGGGAGGGCGACAAAAATTTTTTCAGATGAAGGTGCGTGGCGTTAGCCGCGCACTCCGAAAATTTTTTTGGGGTGCTTCTCAAAATTTTTGCGGGTCCCCAATTCCTAAAATCCGGAAAAAGGGGGCATGGCGTCAGCCGCGTCCCCGAAAAATTTTTTTATAATGCTAATTTGAATTTTTAAATTTTAAAAAATATTCTAATCATTTAAAAAATAACCAAGTCTCTGAGACTGAAGCCAGTGCGATTGACTGGTCATCTTTGAAACAAAAATTTTTCAGCTGAGCTTGCAAAAATAAAGCGATGAAAGAATAATAGCCTACTTGCAAGTTCTGAGCTCACGATGCCATGAACCTCTGTAAAAACTGGCCATAGTCATTTTGAAAAAATCACATATATCAAAAAAAATAGTGC